AGGGACCACTGTCCTTATCCTTCATTGCCTGAAATCCAGTGTTTTGATAACCATAATTTTAAATATTTTTGCCCAGATTTTTCATTGTTTTAGGCAGTAGGATAAACCCCATCCTTGTTACTCCATCTTGTCTGGAAGCATAAGTCTGCCTCATTTATAATAGATACTCAATAAACACTTAACTCCATCCACCCAGGGGATCTAGCGGTTGTTATAAACATGAAAGACTATTTGCATAATTTATAATGTCATAATTTCATACATCATTTGGTGGTTGGGGGCATGGCTGTGCATACATGACTGGAAAGTGATGAGTTTAGCTCTGAAACTTCCCTTCTCTGTTGATTTCTAAAGCATTAGTAAACTTTCTCATGCCTTACTGCAAAAAGAAATCAGAATACATGATAAAGCAAATATATTAGAATGTTAATGGTAAAATCTAGATGATGGCTATTCACCATAAAATTCTTTCTATTTTATTGCACTGAAATTTTTCATAGTAAAAACATTGGGAATGCATCATTCAGAATCTATGCAGAACTCATCTTTGGCCCAGAGTAAATAACTAAAAAGGACTTCCAAGTTCAGTGTTATCTCTAAATGACACTAATTGAATTGAATTGAATTCTAAGTATTATGAATGATTTCTTATCATGTATAAATAAATTTTCTAAATTCAAAAACAAAAGTTTAAAAACTCATGCATATAATTATAAATGATTCATTTTCATGCTTATCTGAAGTAAGATGTTACTGTGTAGTTATGAAATTGGAGAAAATTAAAATATTTATTATTTGAAAAGTTTAGACTAAATTTTCTTTATTCTACAAAGATTTGTAAGTTTTTTTGGGGTTTGGTTTTGGTTTTGGGTTTTTTTGTTTTTTTTGAGGAGTCTCACTCTGTCACCCAGGCTGGAGTGCAGTGGCATGGTCTCAGCTCACTGCAACCTCCGCCTCCCAGGTTTAAGCGATTCTCCTGCCTCAGCCTCCCGAATAGCTGGGACTACAGACACATGCCACGCACCTGGCTAATTTTTGTATTTTTAGTGACAGGGTTTCACCAGGCTGGTCTGAAACTCCTTACCTCAGGTGACCTGCCCACCTCGGCCTCCCAAAGTGCTGGGATTACAGGGGTGAGCCACCGCACCTGGCCTGTTTTTAGTTCCATATCTTTAACTGCATTTAGGAACATATTTGAATAGATTATAAAAATAGCAAGTTATTCAAAGTAAGAATTTTAAATGTGACTCTGTTCTTGACTGTCACCTCATGGCATCTATTAGGAGGTGAAATCGATTCTTTGAAAGCAGCTCTTGCTGTGGCGGAAGCACGGGGTAGATGAGTGGGAAGAAGGCTCTGCTTTCCTCACCTCGAGTCCCCGCCAAGTACTCATTTCGCACCAGGGCCAGCAGGAAGACATTAAACCAAGGACCTCCCAGCCACCAAGTCCTACTTGAGATAAATATTCCAAAGAAAATGTACAGCGTCATAGAAGAGCTTGAAATTAGGGGCCCGATGGGGACTGTAATTACTTTGCTGCTGAGATGTAAAGGTTTAATGAGACATTTTTCAGTTTTCAGGTAATTAATTGGTGTTGCGGTTAATAAGGTGACTGATGCATGCTTTTCCCAGGATCCGTGTACTCTCAGCAGGTGTTTGAGGACCTCCTAGGTGCCAGGCACAGTGGCAGATGCTGGGATTGCTGTGCACTTATGTTCTCTAGATGGTAGCTGAGTTCTGCTGCCATGAAAGCAGATTCAAACTCACTTTACAAATGGGGAAAGGAGTAGTTTCTCCCTTTAAGACTGCTACTATGATTTTTACACTTCTACCTAAATTTTAAATTAAGTTCATTGAGTTCATCAGAAATTCAGTTTAAGATTGTGTCTACTTTCTACATTGCTCTGTGAAGTTCCATCTTTGTAATATGGTGTCATCCCACATCAAAGGTGCCTCCATTGATTGGGGGTTCATCAGTGCCTTTTATTAGAATTTTCTGCTGTCTCCATCAAGGCCTTATAACCAGGTCATTAATTCCCAGGCACTTTATAGTGTTTCTGTCTGGGTGTATGGAGTCTTCGTCTCTGTTTCATTTTTTTAATGGCTTATTGTTAGTGGAGAGGTGGTTGCTGTTGGTTTTGTCTCTTTGGTGTTTGCATGTGCTAATCTAGTTGTGATGGTCTGTCTGTTGCCTCTGTTTTCCAGCTATATCATTTGCAAACAAATGACAATTTTGTATTTAAAAATATATCTATTGTGGAGGGGCTTACACATTCTGCCCTTGCCAGAAATGTGTCTCCTAGCAATATGCCTCGTAGAACCTAGCAGTTCTATCACAGGAGGAAATGTTCTGCAGTAACTGTGATTTGGCCTTTGATGGGTTCACCTGTTATAAGTCCTGTTGACATTGAATAAAACAGAGAATAAATAACAGAATAACCCTTGTGGTTTTGAACAGAGAACTGTAAATAACCAAACCTTTTTTTCCTGTTGCCTCTAAAATTAGACTATCAGTGGGTTTTTTTTTTTAATGTGTCCCTTCATATCTTAAAATTTTATATGTTACACTGCTGCAGTTATGTTATGGCATAAATATTTTATTACTTCACCCATCGGTAATGAATGATAACACGTATAGAAAGGCTGCATGATATTGCTGAATTGTAAGAATTTTCCACAAAGTTGCTTCTTGGGCCATTTTAGTTTACATCTAATTTAGTAAATTGAGCGATTTGGAGAACATCCGCAGGGCTGATTTAGTTACCGAAAGTGGAAGTGTCAGGGAGGCAGCAGAAGCAGGTGCTTCCTGGTACTAGCCAGAGTCTGTTCTGGCCCAGATGGGGCCATGTGAATCACATGCAGACATATGTGTGCACTCACATGCGTGCCTTCGTCGTCCTGTGGAGGTCAGAGAAACAGCCACAAACGTTCAGGAAGTGCTCGCGTAATGGTTTTCCATTTAGTAAGTGCTTTTGCATGTGTTTTATGTGATTCTCACCGAAGCCAAATGCAAGAAAGGATTTACCCATTTACCCGTTTTTCTTTTTTTCTTTTTTTTTTTTTTTTGAGATTGAGTCTAACTCTGTCACCCAGGCTGGAATGCAGTAGGGCAATCTCGGCTCACTGCAACCTCCACCTCCCAGGTTCAAGCGCTTCTCCAGCCTCAGCCTCCCAAGTAGCTGGGAATACAGGTGCCTGCCATGACAGCCGGCTAAGTTTTGTATTTTTAGAGGAGATGGGGTTTCCCCTTGTTAGCCAGGCCGTTCTTGAACTCCTGATCACAAGTCATCCGCCCGCCTTGGCCTCCCAAAGTGCTGGGATTACAGGTGTGAGCCACCGCGCCCAGCCTTTACCCTTTCCAACAAAGGAGAAAATCGAGGCTTGGGCAGGCTGTTTGGTCTGAAGTCCTCCTTCTAGGTGGGAAGAGGATGTAGCGAGACTGTTTCCATGAGGCTGCGCCGCCTCATGTGCAGCGTGATTGTACGTCCGTGCCTCTGGGTGTGCGCTGGATCTGTAGGTCTTACTTGAGAGATCACAGTGAATCTGTGTGCTGCGCTGAAGGCCCGGTACTCCGTAGACCTCAGAGCTGCTTTGCTGTTCACTCAGACCGGATCCATGTGTCCAGGTAGCGTGGCAGTGATCCAAGATCCAGCCTGGTGATAGAGCGAGACTCCATCTCAGAAAAAAAGGCGGGGCTCGGCGGGGTAACATTTAGAATTAGCTTGATCTTTACAAGACTGGTTATCTAAAGCCAGCCAAGTTTGCCCTGGACTCTCTAGAAACATCTTCTTATTGTTGTTGTGAAGTCAGATTTTAATCTTTTGTGTCAAAAGTTTTGATTTTGTGCTTTTGAGAGTGGCGGGACTGGGACTTTTTGTGATCACCTGTAAGAGCCATGCACCAGAGCCCAGTTACGTAACTGGCATGTGATTCATTCAGAGGTTCAGTAAGGTAACCAATCATATTTAGACTTAGTACAAAAGAGGGTGTGGTGGCTCACACCTGTAATCCCAGCACTTGGGGAGGCTGAGGAAGGGGGGATCACTTGAGGTCAGGAATTTGAGACCGGCCTGACCAACATGGTGAAATCCTGTCTCTACCAAAAATATAAAAATTAGGCAGGCATGGGGGTGCACACCTGTAACTCGGGGGGCTGAGGCAGGAGAATCGCTTGAACCTGGGAGGCAAAGGTTGCAATGAGCCGAGTGCGCCCTACTACACCCCAGCCTGGGCCACAGAGGGAGACACTGTCTCAAAAATAAATAAATAGACTCAGTACAAAAGAAAAATAGGTTATAATTTATGACATGGAAACACTAATCTTTTCTATTTATGTCACTGATCTGTCAGTATGTGTAATACAAGTCCAAACAGACCGAGAGGAATCTAACAGCCCACGCTGGGACGCACAGCCAGGCGGCCCTCCAGCAGTCCTCTCTGTGCCCCTGAGAGTCCTTTCGCAGAAATGATCCTAGCCACTCAGAAGTCGTCCCGCCCTGACGTTGCTTTCCTCGTCGTTGCTGACTGCGGTGTTTATCGGTGCCGTCGTCTCACGGGTCCTCCCAGCGTGGCAGCACTTGCCGCTTGTCGGCATTTTCAGCTGTGACTCTGCTGGAACCTTCATCATGTCGTCCTTTTTTTAACTCTCATTTTGAGCGCTCTCCTTGCTCTTGCACCCACTGGATAGTGTCAGACCTCAGAAGCCATCACTGTGCCATCAGCCTTTGTTGGTGTTGCTTGTCATTTAAAGTTTGACAGTTTAGAGTGCAAATAACTTTGGTGGTCAACTTTCGTGGTCACCTGTCCAAAGCAGTGTTTCCTGCTGCAGTTTTGATCCAGGCTGTCTTTGGGGACCCACATGGCTTCTGGATTTTGAGGATAAGGAGGAGCTAAGTTACCATGGGAAGCGGCTACTGTTAGAATTACTTAAGACTCTTTTTAATGTTCTCTGTAAATATTTTGAATGCCCTGGTTGTAATTATAGAATATGCGGATTTTAGTTTGCAGTTAACATGTTCCGAACGTTACCGCCTTCGTCTAATCCCACGGGAGCAGAATTTGACCCAGAGGAAGACGAACCAACGTTAGAAGCAGCCTGGCCGCATCTACAGGTATTGGGCTCTGGCGTGACCAGAATCAGAGGGCACCAGTGATGTGTGGGAGTGGCCCGGGGTCCACAGAGCAGGCACACTGGTTGGGACAGATGGACCTCTCCTCCTCAGTAGCACGGTCCTTGCAAACCCATACATACGAGGAAGGAATTTCAGCAGAATAGAGAAAAGTTAATGTGTGTGTTTGACCACTTTACACAACCAATGAAGATGTGAAATTGTCAGTATGTTCTCAGTGAAAATGGTCACTTTGTTGATGGCTGTTGAATTCAGGCCCAGAGGTCTTAAGCCAACAATCTCCCAGTTTTTGGTATTCCTATTTAATGTGTGCTTGCAGGACACCCAGGTTCCTGTGCTGGTTACTGCCTTTCCCCAGGGTGTTTGTAAGGCAGAAGGGTGTTGGCAAGGAGGCACCAAGGCCAGCATGAGCAAAGCAGGAGCCAGGCATGCAGGTGGGAGGGCCATCCCTCCGTGACAGGCAGGCCACACTGTCCCACCCAGCACATCCACCCAGCTTCAGGTCACAGTTCAGAGTCCGCATCTTAGGACCCTCTTACCTGGCAGCCCCAGAGTTCCTGTGCATTTGGTTGGCTCTGCACCTTGGCACTGTGGGACACTCCTAGGCGACAGGCTGCAAATCTGCCCCCCCACAGAGTTGAGTTGTGGCCTGGTTTGTGGCATCTGTGCCCTGTAGTCTCTGAACAGTGTACTATGACACTCTTGACATTAGCCATAGACATTGTTTTGTTTAAATGCCATTTAAGGATATAGTCTGTGGGTCTCACCAAATAAAATAATTGCCATCACCATTTATAATTAAATTAAGCCGTGTAATTTTGCATTAATTGTGTAGATATGTGGCTTTAAGAGGCTAATATTTGCAGGCAAATAAAGATTCAACTCCTAGTATATTTTAATCTCCATTCAATAAAATCTCATGTTATTTGACTCATTGTTGTTTTTTTTCCTCCTAGCTTGTTTATGAATTTTTCTTAAGATTTTTAGAGTCTCCAGATTTCCAACCTAATATAGCGAAGAAATATATTGACCAGAAGTTTGTATTGCAGGTAAGGTACAAATTAGCAGGCCCTGCCCAAGCCCTGACGGAGTGGCGACACCCAGCCACTAAGTGTCTTTTTCTTCTCAAAGCTTCTAGAGCTCTTTGACAGTGAAGATCCTCGGGAGAGAGATTTTCTTAAAACCACCCTTCACAGAATCTATGGGAAATTCCTAGGCTTGAGAGCTTACATCAGAAAACAGATAAATAATATATTTTATAGGTAAGTTGCGTGTGGGTGGCATCGTCCTTTTCCATTTCCCCACTCGATGCTCCCCACCCCGTCGTCTCCTCTGACAGGACCCGGTTTGTGTGGAGGGGTTTCTCCAAGCCTGTGTGTCGCGTGCTGGTGGACCCCCTCATGCCCTGTGTGCATGGGCCAGCTGGGCTCATCCTCCCTGCCTTCCCTCTCCCCGCAGCTCCCTCTGGAGCCACTAGGCTCTGCAGGGCCACACCCTGGGTCCCTCCATTGTTCCTGTTTCTACTGAAAGGTCTAGTTTCCCAGAAATGTGGATGAATTGGTTCCATCCAAACCAACCGTATTAGTCACAGTACTCTAGAAGGACAGGACTCATAGATGAACATGTGGAGGGGAGTTGATTAGGAGATCTGACTCACACGATCACAAGGTGAAGTCCCACATAGGCCGTCTGCAAGATAAGGAGCAAGGATGCCAGTCCGAGTCCCAAATCCTCAAAAGTAGGGAGGCGGACAGTGCAGCCTTCAGTCTGTGGCCAAAGGCCCAGGAGTCCCTGGCGAACCACTGGTGTAGGCTCAAGAGTCCAGAAGCTGAAGAACTTGGAGTCCAAGGTTTGAGTGCAGGAAGCATCCAACATGGGAGAAAGATGAGGCCGGAAGACTCAGCCAGTCTAGTCCTTCCACATTCCTCTGCCTGCTTTATTCTAGCCATGCTGGCAGCTGATAGATGGTGCCCACCCAGGCTGAGGGTGGGTCTGCGTCTCACAGTCCACTGTCTCAAATGTTAGCCTCCATTGGCAGCACCCTCACGGATACACCCAGGAGCAATGCTTTGCATCCTTCAATCCAATCAAGTTGACACTTGGTATTAACCCTCATGCCAGCTTTTCCCTTCCACCTGTGCATTATTACCTCGTTCTTCCCAGGGAGTCTCAGTGAGAGAAGGTGGGGCAGGAATGATGTCATTCATCTGTAGAAAGCCTGAGATCTGTGCACCTTGGTTGAAGATTTGGAGATTCCCACTGTGCATCAGGGGCGGGAAAGCCCCCTGGAGCAGCAGCTGGAGGAGGACAACATACAGTGGCAGGCCTACCTCCAGGCCTGCCCATTCCGCAGCCAGCCTCTGCTCAGCTCCCAGGCTCCTTCCACATCAGGGCTCTGCAGCCAGTGTTTGGGCCACCCAGGATATCTTTTTCCACCAGCCCTTCCCTTAGCCTCCCAGGCTTCCTGAAACATCCCTTCACTGGAGGCTCTGCCTGACTTGGCGGTGAGTCTAGTCCCAACAAGGGCAGCCATGATGTCGGCTGATTTGTTGCATGCCCCGCCCCAGTGCCAGCTTCATGTTCCACGCTGTGGTGGCACTAAGTAAATGTCAATAGAGGAAACAGTTCCTGTTGTTTCTTATTTGTTCCTGGAAAGCTTACTAAATGAGCAGTTTCTGCCATAAATTGTAGCTTCTCAGGTCAGCATGCCTCTAAGGCACCGGACTCCAGGATGGTGAGAGATAGTAACATATCCTGGTGATGATGGGGGCAGTAGGATGGCATCTCTCCGTTGGATAAGAGCATTAGCAGGTGCCACACAGCCTCGCTGCAGGGCCAGGGTGTGGACAGAGCACGGGCCATGTCCTGGAGAAGGGGCCAGGTATCAGCCACGGCAAACACAGGCCTCAGGGTCCTTTCATAGTCACAGTGATCAAGCACGGGAAAAGTAAAGGGGCATCTGAGACAGATGGCAAATGAGACCCCCTGCTGAGACCCACAGCCCCGGCTCTCCCACCCCGTGCTGGCCTGCTGGGCAGCCTGTGTCGGGGGCACCCCATCCTGCCCCTCTGCAGTCATTGGGGTCTCATTCCCTCCCCGGTCTCCATGCCTGATAGGGCATTTCGGCGTGAGAGCCGTTCATTTCATGTGTGGCTTTCCTTTGAACTCCTTCCAAGTTCCCCACGTCTCATTTATAAAATGGAGCCCAGTGCTGGACATAGCCCAGACCTGACACATCAGCTATAACCAGAGAATGATGTCATTTTCCTAAATGTTATGTTTCTATTTCTTGGTATCATGATTCCTTTTTAAAAAGATCATTACTTGGCTGATGTACTTCTCTATGAAAACAATAATATACATGATTTAATTAACATACAACAGGTACATTTTAAATTTCAGTCTTTTTGACCCAAAATTAAAGCTCTACCTAATGATTTCTGTTTTCTTAACACTAGTAGGTTTTGTTCAGATAGCTGAATCACAAATGTAGTGAACATCTGCATTTAAGAAGTAGAAAACATTTCATACCTTCAAGAACCCTAATGAAATACTTAAGTAGAGTAGTATTCAAAAGTTATTACGCATAATTTAGTTCAGTTCTCACTAAACTAAAGGTTCGGTGCGAGAGCATGGCATTTGTGTCTGTGTGCATGCATTGAGTAGCCTTTTCTGTAATTGTCCTGGTATATGCAATCAAGAGCAAGCATGCTATCTAGATTCCACAATTGGTTTGGGTCCTCATTGTCAGTACCACTACCTCCTCATTTCATGCGAACAAATAAGAAGAAAGATCTTGAGACATGCACTCAGCTCACCCAAGTGTTTTTCTTTTCTCTTTTTTAAGGCAGGGTCTCACTCTGTCACCCAGGCTGTAGTACAGTGGTGCCATTATAGCTCACTGCAGCCTCCAGCTCCTGGGCTGAAGGGACTCTTCCACCTCAGCTTCCCAAGTAGGTGGGACTACAGTTGTCACCACATATGGCTAATTTTTTACATTTTTGTAGAGATGGGGATCTCACTGTGTTGCCGAGGCTGATCTCGAACTCCTGGCCTCAAGTGATCCTCCTGCCTCAACCTCCCAAAGTACTAGGATTACAGGTGTGAGCCACCATACCCAGCCAGCTCATCTAAGTTCAATATAGTACCACTATGTCTTGTAAGAAAAAGACATTTTGAACATATTTGGTTCACTTTCACTGAAAATGTAAACATAAGTTTGCTATTTATTTCTATAGTTTCTCATTCTCATCAGCTTAAGTGTGAGTTAAACGGTGCTGTCAATTACCCATGATGCCTGCTGGCGCACGGTGGGACCTGGAGGCTGGGTGGGCAAGGCAGCGTGCAGTTCCTTCTCTTGTTGCGTAACAAGAGCATGGCCCGTGCTTCGTCCTCATTCTGGCCCTGCAGCGAGGCTGTGCAGCACCTGCTCATGCTCTTATCTCACAGAGAGATGCTGTCATACCGTCCCCATCATCACCAGGATGTATCACTACCTCACGCCATCCTGGAGTCAGGAGCCACTCCCAGCTCGCTGGCTTCCGTCAGCCATGGTCCATCATCCCTCATGATGCTGTCATCTGCACTGGGCTCATCCAGACGGTTCTCCGTGGCGTGTGCTGGGGCTGGAGTGTTCACAGAGGCTGCTGAGCAGGTCCCCACGCCCCTTCTGTGCCATGCTGGAGCTCCTCCAGGTTATGGGAGTTCCTGCAGCCACGGCCCCATCCAAGAGGGGAGAGGCAGGAGCCCCAGTGCTAAGGGTTTGGCTTGGAACCAGTGCAGAGTGACATCTGCCCTTTGTATTGGTCAAAGCAGGGCGCAAGGACAGCCCAGCTTCAGAGGAAGGAGAAATAGAGTCCACCTCTTCCCGCAAGGCCAGAACACATCATACAAGCAGGAAAGGCATTGAGGAATCCATTCTGGAGACTTCTGCAGCCAGCAGCTGCCAGCTCAGTGTCTGGGGGTCTGATTCCCTTTCTGCTGAAAGAGTGAGAAACGTTCTCGCCGGCTCCCAGGGTTCTCTGTTTCCCTCCCATTGTCCCTGTTTGTCTTCCACAGGACAGGGAAGAAGGAGAGGAACTGTCCTTGTTTTCTCTTTCTTCTCCCTACTTCAAAGCAGGTGTAAGAAATTACAAATCAAGAATTTATCAGTAAGAATGTAGTAATGTTGATTTAGGAAAACAAAATGGCTTACAGCTACAGACCACCGTTATGTAAATGTTAAAGCTGGTGGAGCTAGACCAGAAGGAGTTCAGAGGTCTTTGTCTCTGAGGGCCCAGAGCACAGCTCTACAAGGTACTTGCTAGAGGAGTAGTAAACTGAAGCCGCAGGGCCCCAGCGTATGCAAAGGGAGCCTGCAGGGTGAGTTTCGTAAATTAAAGCACCTCTCAGCGTAGACACACGTGGACTGACTTCTGCTTGGTCGCAGCTTCCAAGCCTCAGGTCGGCGCAGGCTCAGGGACACCGGGCGAGAGCACTTTCTGTTTCTGGTCCCTGCACCACTGTCATTCCTGTCACCCATGGCTCCAGGCTCTGCCCCAGTAATGTCCCTGCCTCAGTCTCAGGCTGTGGCCACGTGCATTGTAGTGCTACTGTGTCTGGCTGCTAAAGGTTCTGCTTCCTGGCACCTGCAAAAACAGACCTTGGTTTTTTGGTTTTTTGTTTTGAGACAGGGTCTCACTCTGTTGCCCAGGCTGGAGTGCAGTGGCACCAGCTCGGCTCACTGTAGCCTCCACCTTCCGGGTTCAAGTGATCCCCCCACCTCAGCCTCCCAAGTATGTGGGGCTCCAGGCATGCATTACCATGCCCAGCTAATTTTTATATTTTTTTCTTTTTTTTTTTTTTTTTGTTGTTTAATTTTTATATTTCTAGTAGAGATGGAGTTTTGCCATGTTGGCCAGGCTGGTTTTGAACTCCTGACCTCAGGTGATCCACCCACCTTGGCCTCCCAAAGTGCTGGGATTATGGGTGTGAGCCACTGTGCCCAGCCAGATTTTGTTTCTTCTAAGCTGGCCTTCCAGCCTCTCCACGCATCTTGCTAACCTCACTTCATGTCACCGATCTGTTCCAGCCAAAGGAGTTCTCCCTCTCCACACTGCCATTAAAAAAAAAAAAAAAAAAAAAGTCTGTTAAGGCCGGGCACAGTGGCTCACACCTGTAATTCCAGCACTTTGGGAGGCCGAGGTGGGCGGATCACCTGAGGTTGGGAGTTCAAGACCAGCTTGACCAACATGGAGAAACCCCGTCTCTACTAAAAATACAAAATTAGCCGAGCATAGTAGCATGGGATTACGTGCCTGTAATCCCAGCTACTCGGGAAGCTGAGGCAGGAGAATTACTTGAACCCATGAGGTGGAGGTTGCAGTGAGCCAAGATTGCGCCATTACACTCCAGCCTGGGCAACAAGAATGAAACTCCATCTCAAAAAAAAAAAAAAAAATCTGTCTGTTAAAATCCTCCTTCAGGACCCAATTCAAGCACCAGCCTCAGTGAATTCTGATCATTTGGAAATAGATATGTTAATACCCATTCTTCAGAAATATTTCACATCTGTGGATGTTTGGCCTCTTTAAAGTCATACTATTTCATTTGTTTCAAACAAAGTGAATGAAATTTCAAAATTGAATTTTTTAATCCGCTCAAATTTATTTTTGGCTGAGAGCTGTCTCTAAACAAATGGTTTTCATGTGATGGGCAGGGATCTTTCAGAGCCTCTCACTTCCTGCAGGATTCTCCTCGTGGCTTGCTCTAGGCCAACCCGAGGTGCGTGAGGCTTGGCACAGGAGAGGCTTCTTTGTTTCTGTGGGACCCCTTTGTGGGAGGACACTTTCCCGTTTCCTAACATGTCACTGTTCCCTCTCCATGTCCCTGGTTTATTCAGCAGATGTGTTTTCATCATCAGACAGATGCCAGGCTTGCTCCTAGCCCTGGAACATAGTCATGAGAAGTCCTTGGCCCTGTCCTCACAGTGGCCCCATCTGGAGGGAGACGGGCTGACACAGACAGTGGGGTGCATTTCTTGGGGGTCCACTAGAAGCAGGCACAGTGGACAGAGACGTCTCAGAGGAAGGGAGCTGGGTCTATCGCAGATGGGTGTTTCAGAAAGATCACACCTGAGGCAGTACAGAGAATGTGTGTGGGTGTCAGTTGGGCACTAGGCAGGTAGGCCAAGAGGTGTTCAGGAATCACTTCTGCTCTTTGCAGGAACTGTGCTAAATACTGTAGGCTTTAAAACAAAGTAAGACATCGACTTATGTTGAAATATGGCAAAAATGTAAGATGGATTAATGAACAAGTAAAGGATGGATGGACAGATGTGTATGTGATCAAGGAGATGGCGCGCATTGCTCGTGGTCAAATCTGGGTAGTTGAAATGGGTGTTCACTGTAGAATTCCTTCATTTTCCTAGATGCTTGAAATTTTTCAAAATGAAATATTGAGGAAAACATGTGCAAGACTGAGCTCTCTGCCCTCAAGGCATGTACACCTCCAGGCCTTGAGGAGTTTCTCTGGTTCCTGAGGGCTTCTTGCTCACCACAAGCAGTGTTTGCCCAAATAGACGCGCCTCTTGTTGCCTGGCTCCGAGGCTCCTCCTACAGCATTGTTTTCTTATTCAGGTTAGTTCAGTGTCTGAATTCTAATTGGAAAATTGGTTTTTTCTAGGTTTATTTATGAAACAGAGCATCATAATGGCATAGCAGAATTACTGGAAATATTGGGAAGGTAAGCCTCTGTGTTGTGTTATGTGTAGCAAATAGCCATAGATGGAATTTACACTGGAGTGATCCATTTCGTTGAGTTCAGCTGCCCCCTTTAAAGCAAGGTGATTTAAACCACTCTCCAAAAGAATTTAAATAAAATTGCACTTAGAGAAGGAGTTGGTGAGCTCTTAGATTAGAACATGCCAAATGACAAATCTCTCCCATTTTTATGGTTCTGTATGTAGATTCTACTTCATGTACCTCAGTATCATTACTATGGAAACACAATTCCAGTTATTTCCTCAAGAGCAATGTTAAAAATAGTTACATAAGAACGTTTATATTAGAAGCTTGGAAGAAGAATAGATTGTACATTAGGAGTATTGTGTAAATGCTAATATTTTCAATTACTTTCATTTTTTTTGTATGTATACTTATAAAATAACTAACATTTCAAAACTTTCATCGTATTTATCCAAGTAAAGTTTTTACTTGTTTTTTTTTTTTTTTTTTCTTCTTGCTCTGTCGCCCAGGCTCGAGTGCAGTGGTGCAATCTTGGCTCTCTGCATTCTACGCTTCCCAGGTTTAAACGATTTTCCTGCCTCAGCCTCCTGAGTAGCTGGGACTACAGGCGCCTGCCACCACGCCCAGCTAATTTTTGTATTTTTGGTGGAAATGGGGTTTCCCCATGTTAACCAGGCTGTTCTCGAACTCCTGGACTCAAGTGATCTGTCCACCTCACCTCCCAAAGTGCTGGGATTACAGGCATGAGCCACCATGCCCGGCCACTTTTATTTTTAATTGATAACCTGTAGATTTTATATTAGACCTTCTAACCCACAGTTTCCCAGAGTTCCTCAGGGTTCCACGGCTAGTAAGGGTGAGAGTGCTTTTTCCTGCCCCTTTTTAGGGACGTACTATAGATGGGCTGGTCGGGGTTCTCAGGAGCCTGCGGTGGAGAAGCCCTGCATGCTGGGTGGACTGGTGACTCCCTGCAGCTCCTGAGCACAAGACCCTCTTCTCATGGTGCATCAGGTCCTGCCCATTAGTTCTGAGAAAAGCTATTCTTGTCATTTTAGATGTGATTTGAAAAAATGTCCTCATTAGAATTCTACTTTGATTAGTTTAGACAAACTTGGAGGGGGTGGCCGGTTCTCTCGCAGTGCAGTGCAGTGCAGTGAGTGGTGAAGAGGATGCCCCTAGCTAGTTATGTGACCATGAGCAGGTACTGCTATAAGATGGGAGGAATCCTTGCATTTCCCTTCTAGATTATTGCAGGGACGGAAGCGCTGTGTCATGTGTGTTCCACAGCCCACCACGCTGTGTGCATGGGACCCCCATGCAGCTCCTGACAAGAGGCTTGATTAGTTTTCTTCTTCCAGACAAGAGGTTGAGCCTGCAGGTGACCCTGTGAGTGAGCACGCCCTCCTTGATGGGCCACTCCAGGCTCGCCCTTCCTGCATTGCTCGCCATGCCAAGCGGAGAAGACCAAGTTAGAGACGGCTCTGTCTACTTCTGCAGCTCAGTGACAGTCACTTGCATTTGCCTAATTATAAAACCAAGACAATAAACTAGTTGTTTGAGACAAAAACTTTGCTTTGGAGGCTCTAGGTAGTACCCCCTTTCCTTGCACAAGGAACAGCTTTCTAACTGATTTTTTTTTTTTTTTTTTTTTTT